TAATTCAAACAAAAGAATAGAAAGGAATCCCCCATGGATACTGGAAAGAGAAATAACAGCGGACTTGAAAAACCCACTTTTCTGAAAAAAATGTTTTAACGGAAATATTTTTAAAATTTCAACCCTCTATGGCACTAACTCCTCAGTAATTGAATGCTGAATACTTCCTTATAAGAAAACAGTTATTATTACCATTATCATACACTTTAGGAAAATGCCATTACTTATAGTTTACAGAGGAGGAAAGGAAGCACCAGCATATTAAATGACTTAAAAAAAGTTGTTGTGTATATGTATATATATATATATATATATACTTTCACTAGTCAGTAAGTCTTTTGACCTCTAGTCATTTATCTCTTTTTGAGTAAAGAGAATCAGTTGGCATACATTTGTGTAAACAAGCTGGCAATATTTAATTGATTTTTATAGACATTCCCTCCTAAGAAAGAATGAGCTCTCGGCACATTCCAAGGCTAGAAAACACTATCTACTCTGCGATTTAGCATATAGCTTGTGGAGGAAAGATGGATAGATGTATTTTCCTAAGATATGAATGCAAATGTGAATGCTACTCACTAGGCTGCAAATTGAACTCAGATTACCAATTCCAGTTTCAGCGCCAATAATCATTACACCACCTGCATCTTTTTCTTCTTTTATTTGTCGTGTCTCTTCAGGACATGAACAAGTATGGCTTTCCAATATTTTCCACCCTATGTTTCTCTAACCCTTACTATAACTCAGTTGTTCCTAAACGGTGCAACACACCTCATAGGTTCAGCAGAAGAAGATAGCAGGTGAGGTGGAATGATGGAAAGACAAAGATTTAGAAACAGTTTAAAAAAATTCATGTCCCAAAAATAAATATGATTTCATAATTTAAAATATTATTATAGATTACTTGTAATTTCATGTATGAGCTCCAATATAAATAGTTATAAATAATTATTCACTGATTTTATCAGTATGATATTTTTGTATTATATCAAGTATTAAGATTATTGTAACTAGAATCCGCAAATTGGAGAAGAAAGTTATCAATGATAATGCACTGACTTCGAATCTGCAGTTATCTCCCTTTGACCCACTCTGTTTTTTTTTTTTTGTTTTTTTTTTTAAATGTACTTTTTATCACAAAATTTATGAGGCGTGAACAAATTTTCATTCCCTCCAAAAAAAAAAAAAGAGTAAAAATTTTGGGAATCACTGCCATAACTCCCAATTCCTGTTTTGACATCCACTTACTCAAGCTTGTTAAGTAGGTGTAGTTTAAATAAGTCTGTATTGCTACAACGTCACTGTACAAATAAAGATACTGCTGCTTCAATTCGCCATTCTTGCTTTTTGAACATGTCACAACATATTTCCGTCTTTTCTTCTGTCATTTTCACTGCTTCAGCCCTCTTTTATCAGGTCAACCAACCAATCAGTGTTATTCGCTTTTATTCTCAGTTACCCAGGCAAATAGCCTCCTCCAGTTCGACCAATCAGCACATGACTTGCTATTGGTGGAAGCATGCCAAACTGTACAAAAACCCTTGTTACCGCACATACTGCTAGACAGGAAAGTAATGCCATTTTCACGGGGCAAACTTGCTGATGTCACGTTCCACCTGTTAAGGTAAGACCCTTATTTTCCTATGCACCAGATGCAAGCCACTCTGGCTCGCTTGCTTCTATGGGGCTGTTCACCACAGTAGGTTACCTGATGTCTCCCTCTATTCCTCTTGACTCCACTATATCTCAGATTTGAAATTCTTCAAATCCTCTTTTCACATGTGTCCCAGAAATGTCAAATGTTTCATTCTGATTATAAATGTTCTTTAAAAGTGTTCTTTTTACTTCCATTTTCTTTAAAACTTGAAAAGTCTCATGCTTATTTGTTTTTTGGAGGTGGATTCAAACACAGTTTTCTTCTTTAATTTACTTAAACAAAGAGCAATTCGTTGAATTTTTTGATACCTCCTCACCCATTTTTTTTTTTTTTGCTACATTCACAAGATTGTGATCTGATTTTAGATTTGATTTTGGGCAGTTTGGTTTTTTTATCGATGCCTGCCATTTATGTGGATTCTCTTTTTCATAGTTTTCTGACATACCAGTTAAATTTTTACAAGCTACTATTTAAATTATTAAATACAATACTTCCTACTCAAAAATACAGAGTTCACAGTAATATTTGTAATAGTAAAGAAAATTAAAAAAATATTTTTTCCAGTTGAATTATTTGAAATTTTCTGCTCATTTATATCAGAATTGTTAGATCGACATAAACAACCCCTCTAAAAAAGAGAGGCATCTACAGAAAAATTATGAACTGCAGCCTGTTGAGAGTAATACTTGAAGTTTGAAAAGGAAAAAATAAAAGAGACCCGTGTTTTAGATCTACATAGAAGCTAAGTGCATTTAAATCAGCAGACAGAGGTTTGATACACATGCTGGTTAAAAGTGGTTCAATCTTGGGGCTGTATTTAAGTTCTTGCAATTTCTCTTTTGTTAGTTTTTGTATCAGGTATAATTTTAGTTTGGGTTTGGTTTGGTTTTCTTTATTAGGTTCACCCCCCACAATTCATTTCATGCCATATATTTTTATAAGAAAAAAAAAGGTTACAAAAAAGATAGCTGTATATATTGTAAAATTTTATGACATGTGTGTTTTAATAGAACTCCTCTTTGAATATGTGGCATTGTGGTGTATGTCAGATGAATGGAGATGAATGTATTCTTGCAGTGACTGAGTAAATTGTAATGAATGAATGAGTCACAAATCAAATTAGCTAGGTTTAAGATAGTGATGACCAACCTCACTCTGCTTCCCCTTTCGGCCTTGTGCCACAATTGTATTTTTATGCAATACATATACAGTTTTTGTATCAGGTGCCTGATGAAGCTTTGTCACTTTGAACAAAAAATTGGGTTACCTTCTTTTGGATTTTGTATCTACTCTTACAAGAATTATACTCAAATTATTATTTGTATAAATGTTAAAAACATAATATATTATTATTTACAATATTTACATGCTGAGTATTGTTCTCATCTTTGTTGTTATCACAAAATTTCAGCTGTTGTGTACTCTGACCTTCATCAGGTGTATATCAATCCAGGTAACATATAAGAAATGGCAGCAAGTCTTCAACAGCAGCAGCAGCTGTAGCAAAAGAGAAAAACTTCAGTGAGTGTAATCAAGCACAAGCAACAGTGGCAGCACTCATCAGCAGGCAGGATATGTTAAGTTAGGTTTAAGGCACCAAGTTCTCTGTGGAGAACACCAAAGCCTTAAACCTAAGTGGATTAAATAATAGATTAAAGTATTGGTTCATGAATTTGGTTTCATAGTAATTATGATTTCAATCCCTGGGCTGGGAAGTGTGTACTTTGTTTCAGTTGAAACAGGACAAGGAATAACTGAGCAGTACTAAGAACTAGACAAGATATCCCTAGATATAGGGACAAGGGAATCAGTCTACCTCCATAGATTAAAGAAAGAGTTCAATTTGGAATTCCCTGTAAGCTACCCAGACCGATATACACCTGACGAAGGCCAGAGGGCACTACAGCCAAAAAGTTGGGATAACAACAATATATATAAGGACAATAGTCTCTCTCTCTATATATATATATATACATAGAGTAAATAATAACTCATTCTCATCTCAAAAATTCAGAAATTATATGTTAGTCTTCAGACCTTCATATCACTTTTACCTGTACATAAGCTGTTGATATTATGTAAATTACTAGTGTACCCATGCCATCAAAAATGGTGGCAATTGTTAGAATGTTTTAATAGTGAAATGCAATGAAGCAAAAGTCTTAAAACAATGTATTGACATTCAATAAAGTGGAGATAAAGAAGAGGCCAGTGAACTATTTAATTAATCTGTTCTCTTTATATTTTTTATATGTTCAGTGGTATCTATGATTCATTGATTACTCCTGGTATTATATAAATTGCTTTCTGCTCAATATCTTTTCATACTAAAAATTTGATGTGCTTAATATAACAGTGAAATGAAAATATCTCTCAGACGAAAAAGATTGTCAACAGAATGACAAAGACTGTGATGACAAAGCCTAGTTGAAGACCAAGTTGAAGCAACACAATCATTTAACAGACGAAGGTTATCTGAGTGCCTCACATGAATGGCTTGAACAAATAAGACTGCAATCTAAGAAATGTAAGAGTAAAGGAACTGATTAATTAAATGGTTCATTTTGCTTGGGAAATAATTTTGTCTAAATGCAGATAATTATTTTATTTGTATAGATTATTAAAATGACTAAGGGAAGTAATCTCTTATAAATTTACTAACTTAAGTTGATTTACCTCCCTTCCCACTGCAGATGGGACAGGAAATATATAAACAAATGCATATATAAATAAATACGCTGAAAATATATAAATAAATGCAAGTTGATAATTATTATATGGTTTGATTATTTGGACCAGCATTCTCATCTTGTTGAACAATTTGGCCAGTGTATTCTCCGGTTTTCATCAGGTGTCTATTGTTGTCAATGGTAACTTTCTCGGAATTTTGAACTTAGGTAGTTTGTTCTCATTCTGCTTTTTATGCTTGGGGACTGATAACTCATATCAGTTAATGCTCACCAGTGTTATTCATCTTTGTGTCACTTGTCCATTTCTGTCATTAAACAAGAGTATATGATTTTTCAGCACTACCAGACTAAGGGATTGAACTGCCAACTACCAGGTAACCAGATATGTTTTAACCAACGCTTTAACCCACTAGACCATATGCCTTCAAATAGAGCATAATAAGTATATGTATTGAGAATAACAATCATGACAAACATGTCAATATGAATACTAAAGCAAATAATGATGATGCTGCCTCGTCCCAAAAATCTCAACATAAATTATAAACTAAGCCGACCCTGAATTTTCTCCAGTTGAACAAACAGTTGTACGCCCAAGGAGACTCCTTGATTTGAACATCTGGGACTCAACTTCAACCCACACCTCAAAGTTACAGCCACATCATGTTGAAACACCAGTTTCCATACGATCACCAAAGTTGAGCATTGTCAAGCCTGCTCAGTACCTAGATGGGTGACCAGTTGGAATTATCGGGTGCTGTAAGCTTGGATGGTATTCACAACTTTTGGATGGTATACTTGGGTGGTGTAATGGATAATGGCTCAGAATTGTTAATCGGAGAGACAAATTCCAATTCCAATTTGGTTTGTTATATTCACTTACACTTGGGAAAGATATGAAACCATGTCTTCTTCCTCCAGCTATGGATTAATTAGTAAGACTTGTATCACTAAATCATTATTATCTCCCACCCAAAAAATTCTTTAAATAACCTGCAATGGGTTGATAAGCCATAGAAAATAAATCAATAATAAATACAGACTTAAAATACAACACATATATATGATCCATCACTAAAGATGCTGGCAAAATTCTCACTTACTTGTAATGCTACAGAAAGTGCCTGACTCCTCCTGCCATGCTTTATCTTTACAAAAATCAGATAAGACCAAAATTGGAGTATTTCTGCCATATCTGGGCTGGAGCTTCTCATGCCTCACTTTCTGTTGTAGAATACCTATAGATGATGATAGGTATGTCTCCATTCACATAAATACAGTAGTAAATACTGTATGTTGGTCTGCAGTTGGAGATTTGTCTCCAACTGTGCTTGTCAAACTCTCTGCCTGGAGGCAGAGAGGAACCCCAGATGAGGCTGTGTCAAAGGGCAGAGTCTCATCTCAGGGAAACAGCTACTTGACCTCATTTTATACAGTGTCTACAGGGAATTTTTGGCTGAGCCTACAGGCTCAGATACCCCACTTTAAATTCGGCCTTGTGCCACATCTGACCATGTGGAGTGATTGGTAGATATCCTGGAGTTGGAGATTCATTGTGGAATTCAGTTGACTCATTTCTAGCAGTTGACTACTTCTTCTATGCACCGCTGGTGAATCTTATATGTGTTGTTCTTGTCCTAAGTATTATCGTTCATTACCAACCTTTGTGTGATTATTCTATTCAGTAACCTTCCCTAAGTTACAACACTTTCCATCCTTGACAGAGTTCAAAAGCATTTATGTGGCCTTGTTACATGGCTGGGTCAAGATATCCTCATGGTTTCCTCAAGGTAGAGGTTTGAAATCAGTTTTCCTTCTCCTAGATAGATTACCAACAACCAAATTTTGATTATTGCCTCTCCCATTGCATATATATATTATGCTGTTTGAGTAAATTCATTTAAAATTGATGCCTTCAGCTATGGATAAAATGTATTGTTGGTCATTTTGCTATAAAATGTACTGTCAATAATTCTACTATAAATATCGATCATTGGTAATTTTTCTATTTAGGCGTTGATAATTTTACTGTAAATAGCTGTTGTTGATAATTTTTTTTTATTTAAAAATATATTGCCAGTATTTTTACTATAAAAATGTACTTCATAGTGTTTTGTTTTTGTTTAGGACCCTAACAGGTGTTACCACCCTGGGTCAGGGTGGACCTGGGAACAACAGTAACTGAGTGGTGTTTCCATGCTCATCAACACCTGCAATCTCCTGATCATAGACCTTACTACCAGATGTAGTTTATCTCCAACTAGCAGTAGAGCCCGGCATTGCCCGGGGATGTAACAGTAAGAGATAGATCATGTATCGACCATCATAATGACTGAAAAATAAAATTGACAAAGATTATTTTTTAAGGTTGACGGACACACATTAATTAATTAATTAGTTTTAATCTTAATTAGTTTTTTTTTTTTTTTTTTTTTTTTTACGAATTGGTCAAACCAAAACTCAAACAAAAACATTGTTTTCAATCGTTATGAGTCTACTGATTGAATAGAATTTTATTATAAACAATTGTCTTGTAAATAGAATTTTTAAAGCATTCTGAATGTAAAAATAAAGAAAAAAGTGTGCAAGACAATAAGAAACACTACTTGCCAAAAAATAAGTGAAGTTTTGTTGAAATCGGTTGAAAAATGTAGGAAATCCGATTCCATATATAAACGAGCACACACACACACACACACACAAACAACCTGGGTTTTTATTAATAAGTATAACTCGATATGAGTTGTCCCCCTTTCATTTTCACAATGCCTCTTAATCGTGTTTTCAAATTGATTTTGTGCAAAAACAATTGTTTTTCCAATTTTTGGCGCTGTCAGAACCACCGCAAGGTAATTTCACGTAGTCCTGTGAAGTTTTGTTGAAATCAGTTGAAAAATGTAGGAAATCAATCAAATATAAATAAACACACACACACACACACACACACACACACACACACACACACACACACACACACACACACACACAACCAGGGTTTTATAATAAATATGATGTCTTTTAACTCCAGGCCTCAAATGGAACATATATATAATACATTGCTGGAGATATTGGGAAAATGCTCAGCTCACTCTACCACTCCAGAAAGTACTTGATTCTTTCTGGCATGCCTTATCTTTACAAAGAACAGATTAGACAAAAAAAAAAAATGGAGTGTTGCAGTCATATGTAGGTTAGAGCTGCTCAATCCTCACTTTCCAGCATTGATAAAGACCTTCTGCTGCACTTCATCTTTACAAGAATCAGATTAAACAAAAAGTGGAGTGTTGCTGCCATATCTTGACAGTCTTGAGAGAGTTCAAAATCATTTACATGGCTTTGTCAGGGATTAATGATTTTCCACCTCACCACCCCTTTCCCCACAATCACAATCCCACTGCTTTATCACTACTTCCATGGAAAATGTCCAGACGAGCTTCGTTCTTTTGTGCCACCAACTCAGAGTTTTGCAGTCAAGGTCCACCTAGTTGCATCCACATGAGTGAATCACCCTCATTCCCTATGTATTGCATTGGTAAGAAGGATGTTCACTCAGAAAGCTTCTTCCCAAGAGCCACTGCTTTGTGGAACTGACTCCTATGTGAATGCTTCCCCAAACACTACATTCTTAACCTCCTCACGTCTAGGATCAGTCTTTATCTATTCACCATATCCTCGTGATCTTAATTTCCTATTTCTTTCTTTTATGTTCATATTACACAACTCACTCCATAATGGCTCTTGGGCCTTATATTGGGTGAATTTTAGTAAAAAAAAAAAATAATAATAATAATTACTGCTTGGTTTATTCTCTTTTAAGAGATATCACCCTGAAAATCTGAAGTTTTTAAAATTCTCTTTGTGCTGTTTCTGTTTTTTCAGCAGAGATTTGTCTACTTTTGGCAAAAATTGGAACACAGCTTCTTGTATCTATCTTGTTATAAACTCCAGTATTTTCCAGTTGTGTCTCTATAAGATGTGACATCACACTTGGGTATTTTATTAATACAATCACAAATGAATGAAAAAAACTACCGTTGTCAACGTTTAGATTTATCCAAGACATAGGTACATTTAAATTAATCTTCCTTTATTATCTTTATTTATCTTCTTAAGCCAAAGTTGAAAAAAAAAAAATCCAATAAGAAACATCAGCAAGCAGTAAAGTCCAATGGAAAGATCTTTTTAAAAAGAAAGAATTTCAATCTCCAGACTCATCATCCTTGACACTGGTAGATAAGAATGATATAGAAGTTGGATCCAAAATAATTCTATTCACTGGAGGAATTGGTAATATAGAAATAATAACACCAATGTCAATACTGCAGCAACTGCAGTTTGCCTGTGGTATTACCCCACTTGTCTGCCAAAGAACTTTTGCTAACAATTGCTACATGATGTTGCTAAAGCAGTATATAAGAAAATGGTTCAAAAGTATCACTGTCTATTTTTCTTTAACTCATTGGATGCCTGTTTCTCATTTCCCTTCCAGTGGGGATGTGCAGGTGGTGTAATGGACAGCAACTTGAAATGAGAAATTCAAGATCTGAGTTGAAATTCTGATTGAGTTCATTACATTCACTTATACACAAAAACCCTTGGGAAAGGTATGAATCAATCTCTTCTCCTCCAGCCATGGGTTAGATAGTAGGACTTGTATCTGGAAAAATCATTATCTCCAAAAATTGTTATTGCCGTATTCACTCGCAAAAGAAAAAAAAAATTATTCTTACAATCCAGAATATGCTTCGGCTTTAAATAACATATGAAAGGTTGATAAGCTGTAAAAAATAAATCAATTATTTAGTCCCCAGTGAACATCATGTCACATTGAACACAACATAGAATAGTACAGAGCATACAATGCCTTAAGTTTACTTGACTAAAAAACAGATACACCTCCTACTATTTAACCCATAGCTGGGAGGGGAAGAGATTGATTCATAACTTTCAGTTTGGTTTGGTTTGGTTTATGGCATATCAACCTCAATGGGTTATTTAATGTCGACAAGATTTTTATTACTGGTAATATTTTTTTCAAAATGTATTGCTGGTAACATTTCTTTTCCTAAAAATGTATTGCTGGTAATTTTTTTTCAGAAATGTATTGCTGGTAATATTTTTTTCCAAAAACGTATGGCTGGTAATAATAATAATGTATTGCTGGTAATCAGCAATTAAGAGGTGGCTCCATGCTCCTCAAAACCTCCTGATCAGAGTCCTTTTTGTTGGACATAGTTTATCTTCTTACCCAGGATATGGATGTAGTTTATTGTCATACCAAGGACGGTCATACCTTTCCGAAGGGTATTTGTGCATAAGTGATTGTAATGAACTCAAACAGAATTTTAATTTAGATTTTAATTCTTCCAAACCAACAGATAAAAAAAACTCTTCTAAAATGTATGTCTCCTACAATCTTCTATAAGAACTTTACACACACGGATACACATATGCATGTATGAAAAATGACATCCCCTAATAAACACCTTTGTTCACCTCTTTTGTATTTTTTACATTCAGTTTGCTAAGGTGATAAAATATGTTGTCATTTATTTTACATAATTATATATTCATTCTTACAATCTTGTTTGAGGAAACACAAAGGTATCCACACAACTGTTTACTGTCTTATCAATATATTATCAACATGCCTCATTAGATTTTTGCATCATTAGGACCAAGGATTATTGGTCAGGAACAAATTAATGTTTGAAGGTTAATTTGCTTCTTGTGTCATCTGCATCAAGGTTTACACATTCTTTCC